CGGCGGTGGCCGAATTTATAACTTGTGGTGGGCAAGGCCGTGGTCTAGGCAGCCCGGAGTTTTCCTCCGTGGCATCCCAACAATTACTTCATTCACACACAGAAGAAGGCAATGGCAAACCCCTTCTGGATCATCTGCCAAGAACGTATATGAACAGGTCCCAGTCCGAGAAAAGGATGGAAGGATCCTGTTCATATGGACCTGTCGTCAGACAGAACACTAAATAAATATAAATAAATAATAATCTCACGTCTTCGTGCATTTTCTGTGTTTTAAAGTGATAATACTAGTTATCATAAGCGAAATGGCTAGAATGAAGATATAACAATCCTTTATTTAGGTGGAACTTCGTAAAAATGTATAAGATTCCCTTTTAAATTTGCCATATTATTTTCTGTGCAGCCATTTCTGAAGTACACTAATAGACTTACATGCCTTGATCCGATGTATCACCAACTGCTGTCCGCCATAGCTCATTACTAGCCACACCGGCTTCGAGTTCTTGAATCGGAATTTCTGTGATCGATTTAAATCCGCGAGAAAAAGAAACCGGGACAATTCGAGATTTCAGGCAGACGTTTCGGAGGTCGTTATTGCCTCTATAATCAGGGATGTGGGTACAGTCAGTCGCCCTGATGATGGATTCAGCAGGCGTTTGCAGATTACGATGCAAAGTTTCTCCTTGAGAACCTTTAAATCTTGCCTCTGAATTCTTTGCCGATGGACTTTATCATTTGTCAGCGTTTTTGTTTTACAAAGTCTTAAAGATGTTAAACCTTTAATATCGAATTATCTCGGATGATGGATCTTCCTTCGTCTTCGAGGTAAAATAGGGATTTTCGATCGAGAATACTCGGTCTACTGAATGTAAGGACCCAACTGAATAGCTGTCTCACCCCACGCCTCTTACATGACGACGAAGGAAGATCCATTCTTCGAAACGGAGTGATCTCTAAGGCTTCGGGGTTTTAATACATAAAACAGCTGATGATGAACAAAGACCAAAAGGAAGAAATAAGAATCTTACAAGTTTGAAACCTGCCGAATTCTTCTTAAAGCGTCGTGCTTGAAGGTTGAGTGACCGAGTATTCTGATGTGGTGGATTGCACTTATATTTGGGGAGTTCCGGGTTCTAATCTCGTAATCTGACTATTCTGACAGGTATTTCTAAGGCTCGCGGTATCGTGATAAACACTTTACTGGGTTTATACACTGCTACTGTTAGTAAAATACAATGCGTAGACTTTACAGAAGAAAAATTATTATTTATTTTATTATCTTTGCTACTTGTGAGAGGTATTTAATTATTTTTATATCTTTGCAGTTTTCTCATATTTTATACTAGCAGAATGCAAGCAGTGTTACTGTGGGTAAATCTGACAAATGATTTCATTTGTTCCCTATATTTATCTCCCGATAGCCTTTCATAGAAAAAGCCACGGTGGTCTAGCGGTTAGAACGCTGGCCTTGTAATCCTGGGGTCTCGGGTTCGATTCCCGGCGGTGCCCGAATTTATAACTTGTGTTGGGCAAGGCCGTGGTCTAGGCAACACGGAGTTTTCCTCCGTGGCATCCCAACAATTACTCCATTCACACACAGAAGAAGGCAATGGCAAACCACTTCTGGATCATCTGCCAAGAACGTATATGAACAGGTCCCAGTCCGAGAAAAGGATGGAAGGATCCTGTTCATATGGACCTGTCGTCAGACAGAACACTAAATAAATAATAAATAGCCTTCCATAGCTCTGATCATTTGATAATTATCTTTTAATATCATCGAAAAAAGTATTTTTGAACCCAATGTCTTCATCGGGACTCGAAACCAGGATAGGTTTTTGGTTTATGGAATTTTTGCCTGTAATCTCCTCGCTGAAAGAAATCACCTTTGGTCTTGTCGTACTTATTTTCCGAGCTACAGGAACAACGCTTATCGAGAATCGAACTCAAGACAATTTTTCGGAGTTTGACATTGATAAAATATCTTCATTGACTCGAGGAATCAAGCTTTTCAAGTTTGGTGCAGATTGGTTTAACCGTTCTCGACTTATATATTGAACACACACGCAATTTCGATTTTATGTACCAGACGTGTCTGGTTTTGAAAATGACGCAGAGGTCAGTCAACAAACACGATGCATTATGAAACCTTAATTTGAGAGTCCTGGGCTCCAGAGACTGAAGTCAAGGAGATTCAAGACGTCTCCACTCTCATCCGATTTGTTCGTCTGGACTAACCGTGCGTCCTCGACGGGGATCGATCCGTAGACAAGAACAGGGACTGCAGGATCGTGGTGGGGTTAACGCTCGGGGGTCTGAGGCCATCGGATTTACACACGGTCTTATCCTGTCTTACCTCACTTGAAGAGACATATTGTTATCTTAAAAAAAACTCGGTTCTCAGTTTAGGTTCCTGTATATTGCGTGAGAACCTGAAATCACACCAACAAAACAACACGACATGATTGGTCGTTTAGAAAGATTAAAACTACAAATATCTCGCTGGCAAATTTTCAGACTGAACTTTCATGTTATTGGGCGTGTGTTCCCCATTATTTGTTTATTTGGTGAATACAAATTAATTTAACTTTTGTATTAAATGTGAATACATTTTTGACGTAAATACGTCTATAAGGAAGGGTCATTCGGCGAAAAAGTGTAACCTGGTTACCTAGGGAACGTCGTGTTTACTCGGCATTGTTGTTACCTAGGAAACGTTACATTACATTACATTCTTCTACCACAGACCCATCTTAAGCGTAACTAATTCAAGTTAAATAAGCAATGTCTTAATCAAACTTTACTCAATTGTAAAGCATGTATAAAGGAAATATTTAGAATAAAGCCAATATATAAACTTCCTTTCCGTATAGACGTATTTACGTCAAATTCTCCGGAACCGTGGTTCCACTATCAACTTTTATCTTCCGGACAAATGCATTGCTTTACAAATGACTGAAATCATCGCGTAACTCAGAGGCTTTATTGGTGCATCACAACGTTCCTAGCGACTGTGTCTATGAGAATGTATTTAAGAAGACGTCTGTCTTCTGGGTTGTCGCGTAGTCTGATAGAAGTTTACCGACGTTTCAGAGGTCCTTGCTGCCTCATGAGTCATCGTAAGCAAGGACCTCAGAAACGTCGGTAAACTTCTACCAGACTACGCGGCTCAACAACCCAGAAGACAGCCATTTTCAGACTCACCACCGTGAAAACTTCAAATCCTACAGAACGTATTTAGTGTAATCCCTTTCTGCATTGAGATCCATACTTGTTCCTGCGCCGTCAGATTCAACTTGTGATTTTATAACTGAGTTCTGTGGGGTTCGTAATTCTCAGGAGAAAATTGATATACTTGTTTGCAGACAGAAATAAAGACTGGGAACGTGGGGTCGGTGTAAGCTGATGAACCCGGTACCTTCCCTCAAACTAGGCCTTGCCTTTCTATTCATGTTGCAGTCCGAGGAACGAGGTGGGGCCCACACAAGGCCCTCTCGTCGCAGCAAGTCCGAGGGTCCCCCAACAGGCACTTCCGCTGGGGTCCCGTCTGGACCTGCTTTATCGGAGTACCGCTTACAATATATGAATATGTCTAGCCCCCCACCCCGGGCGGTGAGAAGTGACTCGGACCCCTGCGTTGACGAAGAAATGGTAGGGGACGGACAACCTGTTTCTTTGATTGGAGCCCTGCATCGTGATGCATGATTCACTTTGTTTATAAACAGACACGCATGTGAAATTTTGTAGAAATTATGTATGGGAATATTTATTTACCCCTTTAGACAGCATGAGAAAATCCGCTAACCCCCATCACCGTCCACCCCCCCCACTTCATATCGTGAGGGATAACTTGAATTTTGCATGCATGGTCATTTAGCACGTTTGATTCCATCGCTTCCATCGTATTGTCTAGTCAGTTTACTGTTGTACGTTGTTTGACATAGGGTAATGGTGGTTTTATACAGCCATGCTTACAATTATTAATATACTAGAGCAAAGCGCTCCTTTCGGAGCTCCTTTAGAGAGAGAGGCGTTAAAGTCGTGACTGTTCTGCCTCCTGTAGGGAAGGAAATGAACTCAAGTTGCCAAGTAAAGAAATGACGCGAGTGGATTGCGCTAAAGAAATGTTTGTAGAACCTAAACCATTTGTGATATGTAAAATCTGAAAACAGATATGGAAAGCTCAAGAGGTAATACGTATTTCGTACGCAATATGTCCAGATTTACTCTTACTATTCCTGAGGAATGAACATTTAAAGGTGACTCGGCTATGGATAACGCTGTTTGATGACGTCATTTCTTGAAGACAACGAGGAATCAGAAATTTTTATAGTAAGATATTTTTTTTTGTCGTCTTGTGTTCGATTTCTCGTTTTTACTTTTCGTGTGTTTAAGGGTTGATTAGTCAACAATTTTTGTACACGTCTTCAGTAACAGAATAACGTAGTGATTATTGTTAAACGTCACTTGTCTTGGGCGTGGTCTGGTGTTACGTGAAATGTAATCGAACATTTCATGATCTTAGCCGAATTAGTAACTGTATTTCTAGTGTTCTACGGGGAGTCTTCGGTTTCCTGATTACCCACTGAGGTCTTAAACGAATTTAAAAATAAATATTTATGCCGATATTAAACACTTTACTCTGGAATGTTTCTTGAGAAATATCTTTACTGACACAACTAACCACTAACCAGTGTAACCTGTTTATAATTGCACTCATATTATGCGCTGCTTAAGATATTTTAATATAATAGTTATTCTTTTTAATAATATATAGAAATCGCGTGACTTGTGCTCAGGGTAACTCCCGGGCTGGCACGTAATAGTAGGGGGAGGAATTATTCGTTGAAGATTGCTGTATTCTGGGGTGTTGCACCGTGTGGTTATCTGAAACGTCGGTAAACTTATACCAGACTAAAAATAACCAAGACAGTCAAATTCAGACTCACCGCCTTGAAAACTTCAAATCCTTCAATTATTCGTTCCCTGGGTGTTGATATCTGTAGTCCGTGATCTCAAATAGCTGTAAATTTATTTCTATGGACGTTTTTAAAGGACAGCATCTCTATTTATACATCCACGTATTCGCGAACGATCCTGTGTTTTTTTCTCGGGTAATCGGGACTACCGAATTTCGCGAATAAAGTCGTAGACTTTTGGTCGTATATAAACGGTTCAGAAGCCACTGAACTTATATAAATAAAATATGTTATTAATTTGTCTTTGAAATTAACATCGAAGGTAAGTACAGAAAAGTGTTTTTATGAAAAATTTGCTGGGTAGTTTAAATTGATTGGCTAAAATACAGGATGTTTCATTTAAGACTCAGCGCAGATCGACGATACTGAAATCGGTACGGCCGTATTTAAGCCCTGTATCGCTCGACGAGTCTAGACCGTATACCGTTGGTTATAATGAAAGTTCCTTCATTGTCTGGTAACTATATGTACCACCTGCATCAACAATCAGTAACTCTTTATTTTTATGTTTTATAATTTTCGTGTGATTTTCATTGTAAACAGCGATTATTTCTTTAAACAGCGTTAATTAGTTTATATTCGTAACGGTGAAGTGTAGTGTTTTCTTCGCGGTACGGGCTGGATTCTTAAATGCTATTTAGACGATCTTCGGCTTCAGTGGGTTACGAAAGACCACAGAATATTAGTTTATTTGTAAAGCAGGTGGAGATGGTACAAGCTGAGAGAGTCTCGGAAACGGTGGATTATAAATCCATTATCACCGCAGAAGAATTAATTGTATTCGGTCCTCGTTAATACTTCACATCTGGCATGAGAGGTCTTTATCCTCGACGTGGAAATACGTAAAATTTCGCTTTTGATTTAACCGGAAAATTAAATTGTATATTTCGAAGCCTTGCGTCTAACAGAGTTGTCAGAACATTTCCTACATTCAGTACGATTTATTTGACTGATAATATACGCGAGTTTGCACAGAATTTTTTTTTTCCGGGCGTATGCAGTTTTTGTAAATCAGATACAGAAACTGTGTCAGTTTGCAGAACTCACTTCTCCCTTCCACTATATAAAATCAATATAATGCATTATATAGGCGGTACAGGGTGGCTCATAAGTAATTACATCTTTTATACTTGCTGTATCCAAAGTGGGCGAGAGCTCTTAGTTTTATGACGATATCGGTGGCGTGGGTGTGGAAATGTATCGATAAGTGTGTTCGATAGGTATTCGAGAAAAAAAATAAGTATTTATCGTAAATAACACTTAAGTAACATGCACAACCTTTTACAAACACCCTACCAATACGAATAACTTCAGATTTAACTTTGTGTGTATCTTTTTATGTATTCACTTTGTTATTTATTTTGTTTCATTTCATTTATGACGTATTTTTGTTGATTTGTGTTCAAATGACAACATATTAAGAGATGTCCTCTCTAATATCATCCTGAATGTTACGTGTATGTGCACTTTTTATTAAAACTGCTATGAAATATTTCAAATAGACGCGTTTTTGAGGAAATACTCCAGTGTGCAGTAGAAATTGATAGGTGATAATAGTTCCAAATATATGCAAATAATCAGTAATTTTATTTGAATCTACGTTCGAAATTTTTTTTTTAAATTATAGTGGCAGTTTCTTACGTTCACTGATATATCAACAACAAAAATTTAATATTTTTTTTTTTTACGATTCTGTTCGCCAGAAGGCTTAATTCGTAAAAGTCGAACAAGAGCAGGTTTGTGTAATACGTTTATTATTCGTGCATTTATTATACCGACACTTGGCGAAGCCATTTTAAAACATGGGAATTCTCAAGGCTTCCAAGAGCATTACTAAAGAACTCGAAGCCTTTCTGCGGATTTTACGTCAGAGCTGATGGATTTTTGTTTGATCTTGGTTTATAGACCTATTGACTGCTTTGAGATCGTTTGTAATTGTCACAGTGATTTTCCCCACAACGTAATCCTTGATGGATCTTTTATTATTTAACGCGTGTAAGTTTCAGATATATTTTTGTGTCGAAAGATGCGAGCGGTTGCCGTTGTGTCGTAAGTGGACCGAAACATGAAAAATGTTATCCCGAAATTCGCCAGGAATGAACTATGGAGAAACGCGAAAACCAGTCATGATATTTGTATCTTATATGCGTCATGTTTGTGTTTGATTAAATATATTTATTTTGTACAGTCTATACACAAACGTTTGAAATTTATTGGTGTTGTAAAAATTATATAATATTAAAACATTTTATTGTGTAAAATATTATATTAGCGCTCTTAATCGTAAATACTCATGATATGTTTTATCTAAGCTGTTATTTAATTTCGTATTGTATTTGTATTATGACACGTTCTACATCTGAAGATGGTTGTCTCCTGGGTTGTTGTGGCGTGTAGTCTGGTTGAGGTTAAACTACACTACACGGCGCGACAACCCGGAAGTCAGCCATCTTTAGACTCACCTCCGTGAAAACCTCAGATCCTAGTACGTTCTATTTCTATGGAATTTAAATAAATTCAATTATGTTCTAACCCTTGTGTATGACACTGACGTAGCTTAGGCCTACGTAGTTCTTCCCCAACGATTTTCATAGTTGTCAGACACGTTTTGAGCGTGACAATGAAATAGATGTGTTTTGTCTTTGTTATATAGAATATATAAAAATTCTGATTCATTACTGCACGTCAATTTGGTTTTGAAT